GGGCTCAGCTTCTGGCTCAGGGAGATGTGCCACAAGGAAGGAGAAGGGGAAGGAGTTTGGGTAGAAAATTAAGGAAAGGGGAGTTTGTTTTTATTCTTTTAGTGTGAGGCACTCGACTGTGTTTACATGCAGAAGCAGAGGGCCGGGCCGAGAAGCAGCACAGCCTTCCCATGCAATCCAGCAAGTTCGCCAGGACTGCAGCCAGAGGGCTTGGAACAGGTCTGCAGGAAGCCTGCATGTTGGGAGCCGGTGACGTGTCTGGACATGGTCCACGCCACCTGAGGGTCTGGAGTCAGGGACTCGACCCTCCCCACAATGACCCTTGATATTGAGAGCCCGCTATGTGTCTGGACATGGTCCACGTAGCCTGAGGGCCTGGAGCCAAGGACTTGTCGCTCCCCACAAGTTCCTGTAAGGATCCGAGATAAAGATAATTACCAAGGTCTGGGCTCATGCGGGAGGCAGGATGTTTACTCTGAAAGTGTGTTTGTGCGGCCTTGAAAGAACTACTTTGTGTCCCCCTCACCTCATTACCAGCTGTTTGTTACTCACTCTATAATAAAGGCGTTGAAGCCATTTGGGGCTGCCCCTCATCGGAGGGCAGCCTCCTGATCCCATAACTGCGTTTGTCTCTTTCATTCCCACCCCTCGCACTCAGGTGTGTTCATCTTTCAGGCTGGTTCTGACACCTGCACACCGTGGTCACAGCAGTGCCCGTCAACAGATGGGCAGATAAACAGAATGCGGCCCAGCAGTACCCTGGAATTGTATTGTTCAGCCTTAAAACAGAGGGGAGTTCTGACACACTACAGTGTGGATGAGCCTTGAAGACATGGTGCTCAGTGAACTAACCAGTCGTGAGAGAGTGAATCCCGTGTGTTTTCACTTATACAAGGTCCCTGGATTAGTCAGATTCGAGACGGGCAGGGGGAGGGGAGGGGAAGTCAGTGGAGCGTCTGTCGGTTTGCAGAGATGACCACGGCCTGGGGATGATGGTGGTGATGGTCACACGGCAGCGTGACTGCTTAGTGCCACTGAACTGTCCATGCAAACATGGTTAAGATGGCAAATTTTATATTATGTACTTTTACCACAATTTTTAAAAATTGGGGAAATAAAAAATCAGGAGGCAGAAGAGGCCTCTCCCGCAGTCCACGAAGGGTCACAGGAGGGCAGAGGAAGGCAGGCTCACCCTGGACAGCCCAGCACTGAGAGCAGGGGCACCCTGAGGTCAGGGTGGGTGGTGGTGGGAAGGCCATCTCTGAGGAGGTGACAGCTGAGCAGGTAAGGGGAACAGCATTCCAGGCAGTGGGTGAGCGCAAGGTGAGAGGTGGGGTGGGTATAGTGGGAGGACTTTTATTGTGTCTTTATTTAAAATACTCTCCTGAGACCATGGAATGTCAGTGAGCTGCCTCGGGGTTGAAGGCACCTGGTCAGTGGTCTGCAGCTGGAAGGCCCGTGACACCAAGCTCCTGGGCAGGGTGTTGGCTGGGCCAGGCTTGCAGGCTTACTGCAGGGCTGAGGCATTGAGGCCAGCGGGCCAGGCCAGGGCAGAGCAGCACAGATGGACAGGACTTCCCAGGCCAACCACAGTGACTTCCCTTCCCTTGGTTCCTGAAGTCCAGGAGGAAACCTGTTCAATTGTTTGAGGCTGGAGCTGGGGGGGCCAAGACCCAGAGCCTCCAGGAAGCCCCCAGCAGTGCTCTTTGTCACACTTCCCACGGATCCAGGGCCCCAGCAGGACAGAGTGCAGACCCATGGCCCCGAAGGATGAAGGTGCTCACCGCTGTGTTGCTCGCCCTGCTGTTGTGCAGGCAGCCAGGTACTAGGAGCAAGGGGGCAACCCAGCAGCAAGGGGCCTGCGGAGACCTCCAGCCTGGGGAAAAGAAGTAGCTTGGAAAGAAAGAGGGCTTCAGGCTGGAGTCTGAGGCTAGAGGGAGATGGATGGTGTCTTGAGCTCCCACCGGTCTCCAAACCTCCACAGCCCCAGCCAGTCCCTGGGGGTCATGGATTCCCCTTCCCTCAAACCTAGGCTGGGCCTCTATGAAATGCAAGCTTTGGGGTTCCCTCTCCTTCCCCAGCCTCAGTTTCTTTCTCTGTACAATGGGCAGGCCACCCTGAGGGTGTGGGTGGGGCTGCGCTCAGCAGCTGGTGGTGTGAGGACAGTGCCCGGCCACTCAGTAAGCAGGGCCAGGGCACGCGGAGACCCAGGGCCCTCACGAGCTTGG